CACTCTGAAAACACACTTCGCGGCGTTCGGCTTCAGCCCATACTGCTTGAGGGTGGAGAAGGTATCCGTCAAATCCACCAAGTGGTCACAACTTCGTTTGCTCTTTACCAACATATCGTCAATGTAGACCTTCATGGTATTGCCGATCTGTCTTTTGAACATCCGATTCATCAGCCTTTGATATGTTGCCCCGGTGTTCTTTAGCCCAAATGACATCACTTTGTAGTAGTAAACCCCATTTGGAGTGATAAACGCCGTCTTTTTCTGATCCAGGGGATGGAGAAGGATCTAATGTTATCCTGCTCGGGCATCCAAGAAGTTCATACGTTGATATTCGACAGTGGCGTCCACTAACTGGTTCACCTTTAGCAGGGGGTAGTCGTCCTTGGGACACGCCTTGTTTAGATCAGTGAAGTCTACGCAGACACGCCACTTCCCCCCTTTTTTCTTCGCACAGGCTGTGTTAGATAGCCACTCTGGAAACTGTACTTCCCGGATAGTATTGGCCTCCAGGAGTTTATCGATTTCCTCGTTAATCGCCCGGGTGTGATACGGCGCCATGCGTCGTGGCTTCTGTTTTACTGGTTTATGCGCCGGGTTGACATGCAGCTTGTGTGTGATTATTTCGGGGTCCACTCCCTTCATCTCAATTGTGCTCAAAGCGAACACGTCTGTATTTTCCCTTAAGAAGTCAATCATCTCCTCATGTTCGGCTATGGGATCGCGGTTCCAATCAAGAAGTACCTTTCCTCTTCACCATCCACTAAGGGTGCCTTTCGGAGGTCCTCCACCGATCATTCTGTCGAGTCAGTCCGGGGGTCATCCATTCCTGGACGCCTGGACTATGATTGCTATTTTTCCAGGATCTCTTCTAGGGCGTGCCCTTTCTCTTGGGTGAAAACCCCCGCTCTTACAGCCGAGTAAAAATAGTTTTTCGCAGACGCTTGGTCCCCTTGGATCTCCATGATCCCTTCTAGCGTGGTAAATTTTAATTTTTGGTGATAAGTGAAGTGCACCGCTCCCAGCGCATGCAACCATGCTCGTCCCATGATCACATTGTAGGGAGAGTCCGTATCGATCACGACAAACTCCGTATTGATGGTGAAGGGACCCGTGACAACTGGCAATGGGATTTTGCCTATGGGCAAGGCGAATGAGCCGTTAAATCCGATGAGGGGCGTCCTGAACTTGGTAAGGTCCTTGAGGCCAAAGCCCATCCGCTTTAAGGTCTCTGAGTACATCACTTCCGAGGAACTCCCGGAGTCCACCAACACCCTCTTGACGTTGAACCTACCTATCTTCAGGGTTATGATCAGGGCTTCGTTATAGGGAGTCACCACGCCTGCCAAGTCCGCGTCGGAGAACGTGATGCCTGGCTCGCCAATCCTGGTCCTCTTGCTGGGTGGCCCCCCATCACTCTCTGCAGTCTTTCTCATAAAGGCTACTCTCTTGAGGTCGGACTCAAGCTCCTTGGACGTCGGGCAATCTAGTGGACATACATGGATCACGTCTATGACATTGTCTTGCTCCATGGCCGGGGCAGAAGCGCGTCTCTCTTCTGACTTGGGTTCTATGTACTCTTTTAAGTAACCGTCCTGGACCAGCCTTTTCAAGAAAGATTTGTATACTCTGCAATTTTCAGTGCGATGGCCGAAATTCCGGTGATAGGAACACTTGACTTTTTGATCACGGATGAAGGGATCGCTCTGCATACTGGGAAGCCACTTGAAGAACGACTCATGCTTGATCTTATGGAGCAACCTGTAGATGGGTTCCTTGAACATAGTGTGAACACCTTTGAATGACCCTCCCGGAGGGGGTACCAGCCCCTTTCGAGAAGTGTCTTCCCGCTCCCTTTCTTTTCTCTTAGGTGGGGGGTTTCTGCCTTTGTTGCTTCTCATTTCGTCCTCGATCCTAAAGTACTTGTTTATTCGGGCCATCAACTCGCCCATATCTGAGGGGATCTTTTTAGTTAGGGATCGGTACAGGTCCGTGTCCCTTGCCAAGCCAAGCCTGAAGGATGCCGTTGCCATAACTTTCGAACTCCCCTCTACCTCATTAACCTTTTTCCAGTATCGGATGGCATACTAGCGAAGGGTTTCAAATTCCCTCCGCCTGAGCGTCAGTAATGATCCAACGTCTTTAGGCCGCTTACTCCCCGTAATGAATCGGGCTAGAAACTGCCTCGTCAACTCCTTCCATGATCCAATTCTGTTGGGGGGGAGAGCCTCGAACCACTTCATCGCGGAATCTCCCAAGCTCATGAAAAACACTCGGCAGAGGAGCTATTGGTCTGAATGATACAGGGACATTATTTGCTTATATTACCTGAGGTGAGCTTCGGGATCTGATCGCCCATCGTAAGTTTTAAATCTTGGCACGACGAACTTCTTTGGTACCTCCATCTCTCAGATATCCCTGATAAAAGGTGATTGCATGGTCTCGTCTTCAGCATCATCCCGGACAGCCCTGCTTTTTCTCTTGGGTTCCAACCGAGCTCTGAGATCAGTTTTCACCCCAAAGGGATGTCTTCTGAGGTCTCCAAGTTCACTGACAGGGCTCCCCTTTTTTGGGCGTCGTGTGGAAAGGGTTGAATCCTCCTCGGACTTGTCCCCCTTCCTCCGCCTTGACAGTCCTCGCCGGAGGTCGTCCAAAAGTCTTGCCTTCCTGGAACGATCGTCAAGGGGGTGCTCGTTGGCTCTTGGGCGCTTCGGGCCCCTGTAGCCTTTAGCCTTGTTATTTAAATGATTCCTCAGGTCCTTAGTTTTCGCTTCACGGGCGGGGAGTCCACGAGAAAGGAACGAGTCCCTCGATCCTTCGTCGAAGGTGGCGAATTTGTTGAGCCAGCTTAGGACATTCACATTGTCTTTTTACAATTGTCGTAGTCGATCCTCAAACTTTTCTTCGATCACCTCCGCCAGTTGATGAGCCAAGGGGGCAGATCCTCCTGACCTGATGTCCATGTTGGTTTGAGGAGTAAGCCCCCTTGACTGAATAGAGACATTTCTGTCGTCATCAGTGTGACCCCTCCCTCCATCATGACGTGGAGCTTGCAACTCGAGACTTCTTTGCTGGGGACCTTTCCCTTTCTGTTGAGTATTCGTCATGGTCATTGTTCTTGCTAGAGAAGAAACTAGGAAAACTAGTCGTTTCCCACAGACGGCGCCAGATTGTGCGTGCAGGATTTTGCACAATATAAACACGAAAACAGATCTCTCCTGTGGTGAACACGAGTCAGTCAATCGAATGGTCAACCTTGCTAGGCGGAACAGACTGTGAGGATCGGTGGTAGCTTGGATCGGTGGTAGCTTGGAACGGTAATGGGTGACTGTTGTGGGTCATCAGGGTGGTCCTGTAAGGCTAGGGAAGATTCCTAGAACAGAGAAAAACGAGTTAGAAGGGCGCCAGAGTATTTTTTGGTGTATCCCCTCCGACGATCAAGTTAGTTCTTTGACAGAGGGGGAGAAGAAAATACTGTGTATAGGTTTGAGAAAAGATTTTTTGCGTACCTCATCATGCGTTTTGTGAAGAGTATTTATACCTTAAAAACTCATGATTGTTGTCAGTATGGTCAGTAGGTGATCATTAGAGGCGGGTAACATGGACACTGGTTTTTAGGAGAAATGACCTCTTCCTTAACTGCTCGGGACCCAGAGCAACCAATGCATCACCCTCGGTCTGTTGAGCATTTAATGACCTTCACTCGGCTGGGATATATTAAATGCTCTGTCACATGATCATTCCTTGTCTTTCACTTCCGGGTTTTCACGCATTAAATGCTGTCTCATCAAGGGAAATGTGCATTAAATACTTGTTTTCCCAAGTCGTGTGTCAGCAAGGGCATTCTGGTCTTTTCACCTCTGATCTGATACAGTACGCCACGTGTCAGTTCCCTTTTGGTTGAGCCTTTTGATTTCCTGTGCGTCATGACACCATCTAGGTAAGACCAGGTCATGATGGCTAATTTAGCCTAGCCCAGACTGATGACCTATTTATCAATAGCCCTGTAGGAACAGGAACGCCGACGTAGTGGGTACACATCGGTGCCGAGGGCCTAGTACGGTCAGGGCCAATGTACCCACCCCCCCAATCGACCGAGGAATACGTGTCGCCCGTGCATACCGGCGTCGTAGATCCTTATGCACAGTACCATCTCGAGAGAAGAGGGATCATGATCTGACGAACACGTGTCGTGATCACGGCAGAGAGTATTTCTTGACATCGAGTACACGTGTCGCTATCTTGAAGTGTCCAGAAAATGTCCCATCAGGTTTGTAGCACAGGAAGAAAATCTTATTTTTTCTTTTGTTTTTGTTAAATCACTAATTACTCTAAAAACTTAATACATAGATTGTATATCTCTTTATGAGTCTTAGCTTTCAGAGTAGATAACGGTTTGACAGTTTTGTATCCGTGGGATAAAGGTAGTCATGCCCAAATTGCACAAGAATAATTTGGCCCATGATAAGTGTACAATCTAGCGCTATGTTTGCATAGTCAAGATTGTATATATTTAATCCTTCCCAAATCTCATAATTATTGAAGCATCGTGTACTGAATACACTTTTTAGATAAATATAGAAATGATTTCTCTTGCAGCCTCTAAAAATGGACAACCTTTTATGGTCTCAAATTACCTAAAGCAGCAGATGGGACCTGCTTTTCACAAGAGAACATTTTGACAATGATTTAACATCTGATTGTGGGGAAAAGTGACCCCTAATCACCAAGCAAGATGGATAATCAACCTCATTGTCCACTAAAAGTCGTGGCTTATCCATTCAAAATCACACAAATTAAACCCGTCTTCAAAAATTATCCTGAATGTTGGAACTGATGAATCATATCAAGTCATACAAAACAGAACTTTATCCCTTTCATACCTGAAAAGTATCTTAATCACACGTCTTCTCGACTCGTTATTACAATGAAAATTAGGATACTCGCAATCATCCATAGAAACATTTGTAATACATTTTAACTTTCCAATAACCAAAGTTGTCGTGATAATAGGCAATTTTACTTGTGATTAATCGTAAACTCAGAACACGTACAATCGAGGGGATTGATTGTGATTCCTAATCTTCTCCCACGGCTGTTAGATAAAGTACATGGGCGTATAAGCAAAATACAGTAAACAAGAAACAAAGAGAGCAAATTGCTACTAATACCATCAGAGGCAAAAATCAATGTAGGAAATGTCTGGGGAGACTTGTAATTTCTCTCCTCAACCAAAGCTTTGGTCTTTTTCTGCATACTGATCAATACAGTATGCCAAGTATTCACTCTCGAACGAGCCCTACCATACAAACCCACATTCATCTCATCTAAATCCTCCGCCTTTACACGCACCACCTCCTCCGGCGCCGCCCCATCCAGCAACCATATCAAGCAAGAACAGAACCCTTTTGTGATCTCTGAATCGCTGTCAATTCTAAACCTCATCAACCCATCAGAGTCCATTTTCACCTCCAGCCACACCTGAGTTGTACAACCCATTACTCTGTTTTCTTGCAACCGAGCTGACTCATCAAACGGAGGCAAAACACTCGCATAGAGTAGCAATCTTTTAACTCGATCGATTGATTCGGAGAGAGACTTGAATTCTGAAACCAGACACTGAACCTTCTCAGCTACGTTTGGGGTAGTAGATGCATGAGTTTCTAAGGTTTCCAAACAGGGGGTTGAAGAGCTAGGGTTAAGAGTATTTGGTTTCGATGAAATGATATTTGAATCTGAGCTATGAATACGACTTAGAGATGAGAAAAGTGGTTTCCTTTGGTTTTCTTTTCTGGGTTTTATTGGAATATATGTAGTGGGTTTTGGGTAGGTGGATTTTGATGATGTAGTGAATAAAGAAGACGATGGAAGAGTTCTGAAAGTGGTAGAGTGCATGTTTGGACAGCAAGAAACTGCAGGAAAGTTGGGAAGAAACAGAGGAGAGAAGAAAGTGAAGGTCCACTGATCGTTAGGGCGGGGAAGGAAGTTAGAACACGAGAGAGAGAGATGTTAGATTAAAAGTGAGAGAGATCCTTGAACTGCGGATCCTTCTATAAACCCGAGGTTGGAAATTATTCCTTGCACCAAACATGGAGCCAAAATACACTGACCCCCCTACAGTTTTATGTGACATGACATTTGCCCCTAATCAATACAAATTACAAAGTGCTTTGATTAGATCTCCAACAAATCAATCTTGATTATATATATATTTCATGGAAAATGTAATTTAAACTTAATTTAGAGACCTAGTTTAGGACCTAATCAATTATTATTGTTAAATTGAAAGCAATCTTCATCCAACCTTAAAAATTCATCACTAAAATTAATGATTGAAATGAATTAGGTCCTCCCCTCATGTAGACATAATATGAAAACCCAGCTTTAATATTTTTCAAAGATATTGACATGTACTAAATATAAATGTTAAAATGTTGCACCAACTTTTTGAGTTAATGTTTTATTACCCTTTATTGTAATTATAAATAAAAGTTACATTTTATTAACATTCATGATTTTTTTCATACATTAGGACGAAATAATAATCAAATATTAAAACTATAAGGACACAAAAAAATGTACGTAAATAAATATGGGTTTGAATTAAATTAGTTAAGGGACACAATAGTTATTTATATATAAATATATTAGCATAATACCGATATGTTCGTGCGTATGAATTAAATATTGAATTTCATCTTTACAGATAAGTGTTTGGGTTGAGATTGGTTTGAATAAGCAAATCCCTCCCAAAAAATCAATCAGTCCCTTATGGGTAGATATATGAATAGGACCAATAATGAGACTATAATTATGGATTGAGCAATATTAAATAGATTTAAAAAATAAATTTAAAAAATAAATTTGATAATTAGAATCATTGATTTCACTGTAGATCTCAGTATTTATTAAGGTCTACTACCTATTCAATAGTCAAAATTATCAAATCTAATTTTTAAATTTATATTACATTACTCTTGTGGATATGGGCATGTCAAAGCCGCCTCCACCATGTTTTTTTCTAGGGAAAATTTCAACCACACCCCTGTAATTTATTATATCTTCAAGGACACTCCTTCTAGTTTCTGAATCTTCAATGACACCACTTGTCAGATTAAAAATATTAAGTAGAATGCAATTTTACTAAATTACCTATAATATATTTGAGGACAAATTTCATCCATACTCCCTCTAGATAAACATATCTTCAATGAGACCCCCTCTAGATAAGTATATTTTCAATGAGACCCCCTCTGTTTTCTAATTTTTTTACTTAATTAAATTCAAATCTATTAAAATTCAATTCAAGCTAATTAAAATTTATTTTTTTACACATTAAAATTTGTGCCAATTAAAAATTATATTTTTTTTACACATTAGAATTTGGGCTAATTAAAATTTTGTTTGAGCCAATTAAAAATTATTTTTAATCGACTTAAATCAAATTTTAATTAATTCGCATTGAATTTTAATCAGCCTAAATTTTAATATATAAAAATATATGAATTTTAATTAATTTAAATTTTAATAAATCTAATTTTAATTGACACAAATTTTAATAAGAAAAAAATATAAATTATAATTGACTTGAAAAAGAATTTTAATCGGCCCTAACAACTCAGATAGAGTTCAAATCGGGTCAAATTTTAATATGTAAAAAAAAAATTTAATAGGCTTGATTTGTTTTTTAAAATTTACTAATTAGTAAATAAAAAATTAGTATTTACTAACAAATTATTTACTAAAATTATTATTTATAATTTTTTTTAAAAATTTTAATAGCTAAAATTTTAATAAAATTTTATGTAAAAAAATTACTTGAGGTTATGTAGGGGCATTTTTGGTATTTTAGATGAATTTATTTTGTTAGAAATAATAGTTTAATAGTAGGGGGTGTTAGTGATGTTTAAATTAAACTAGAATGGGTGTTATTGAAGATTCAAAAATTAGAGGGGGCGTCCTTAAAATTTTCCCTTTTTTTTACAAATTTTGTCTCTATTAAGCATGTGGTCATCATCGATGTCAGCACTGTAATTATTGTATTTATAGTTTAAGATTTTTGGTCAATATATATTGACTAGGTTTTTCTTTGGACAAATAAACACAAAGCAACTTTGAAAAAAATATAAGATGTGGGATCTACTTTGTCATTGCGTGCTCCCATTACCATTAGGATATTCCTTTATTGGATTCCGCTTTGAGTAACGATAAGAATCCTAAATTATATCTTAAAAAAGATTAATCTATTGTTAAGCGTCTTGGTCTTGTTAAAGACTAATTATTTATGTCGGAATTATAGTATTTATAAGAGATCATTCTCTTATTGTTTAATCTCAAAAGATTGTCAAAATTTAAATTTAGATCATCTGAATTTACGATTTGTCCCTGATGATATATAAAATTGATTATGCACAATCAAATCAGTCAAACATGTAGTGTAAAATATTTAATAATAAGAGGCAAAAATTGAGTGATTGGGTCTAAATGACCTAACCACTAAAGACGCCAACGATGACTGAAAAACTCTATTGATAAGATAATACAAAGTAATAGGAGGGGGAGAGAAAAAAGTAAGAATACACTCAAAGATAAGTGTGACATCTGCCCCCGGGTTTATAATTTACAGGCATAGAACCCTAACTGTTGCAATGACATATTTTGCATTCCACCTTATATTTCAAGTTTTTGATACATTCTTGTGTGCAAACTACTCCATCATTTTGAAGTTCTCATAGTACAATTGGAGAAACATTGTATAGTTTTATCAAATGAAGCTGAAGCAACGATGATATGTGAGTAGACACCTTTCCGCTCAACAGAATGGGATGATTTTGTTTATGGCTTTGATAAAAGATATGTGAATTGGTGAGTACCCGGGCGAGAAGCATAATATAAAATTAGGTTCTAATGTTCTTTATATGTTGACTTTGAAGACTTGTATTCACACATTAACACTTAGATAATGTTAAATGTTTAAGTAAACTCATTTTATTTTCTCCATTTGTTATAAGCGGATTCTAAAAAGAAATGACTTATTTTTCATAGTATTTATTTCTCGAAGAGAAATGAATTTTATAGGTTAGTTTAATTAAATTAAACAATGCCTTCCACGGAAAAAAACAAAAAACAACATTTCCTCCTTTCCATTTTAACACAAACATTTTAGTCATTCCCATATCAATTGTAGTAGACATTATTGAGTAATTTCAAATAAATTTTCAACTTAAACTGATTCAATAAAGAGCTGTCTTGGAAAGAATTAGAAAAAAAGATACGCCCAACTCTTAATTCAAATTTTCAAGCATGGCAAAAATATCAATTCCATTAATATTAGATTGACTAAAATTGACACAAAACATAATTCTTGAACAACATGCACCTTTTATAGTTTTATCATGTAGAGCAAATCAACGCATAATAATATCGGATTCCACATGAAATCTTTACCATGACTGACACCTAAACATTCAAACAATCACATTGGATACCAAATGCATAAAAATTCTTAAATTAGCAAGACAAGTTAATTTTTTTAACGGGACCCACTCATCCAAAGATCCCCATTCATTTGGGATCTGAAATTAATATTTTCCTTACTAAATTCTTCGAGAAAAATTCGTGATGACTGCCATCTATCCAGCACACTTCCAATATTATTCATAATTAACCATTTGGAACTGCAAATGGAATCTCAAGAAATGAACCCATAGCATGGAGAAACAACAATTATGAACACGAAAGCATGCTTCTTTGTTTCTTTATTTTCCTATTTGGCTATGTTGCATCCCAAGCAAATTGACTGGAAGACTTCTTCAATTGCAATCTCAACTTCTTTTTTTATGATAACATTGGTGCTTCTCATCCGTCCATCAATTCATTTGATCACTTCTTTTAAATTCATGAGTGTGGACCGATGACTTGGCTGGTATTATTAATTTTGACCACATGAATATCATTTATTACTTCAATCACTTAAGGCGAGACTCAAAAGTTCCCTAATTTCTTGACTTTTACAAATGACCCTTACACATTAGAAACTAAGAAAATTTAATCACATTCATTATACTTTCATTGTTTCACACATACTTAAATTTCGTCTCACCTCGTACTATTTTATGTATTACTTCCTCACCCACATTCACGCTCTCACATGAATTAGTCGTAGATCTAATTTGGCTATGTGAACAACCATGTTTCTACATTGCCACAATAAGAATGCTAAAGCATCATAGAACCATAAAGTTCGACTTGAGACTAAAAACATATACATGCTTCCACTATTCTTCTTGACTTTTACAAATTTCAAACTACATGTAATTATTTTGTGAGCATACATACACAAACACAGGGAAATATGCAACCAAAAAATCCAACTGCCAATAGTTCATGTGTAAAAAGTAAAAATGAATAAACAAGAAAAGTTCGAGAGCAAAACACTACTTCCCAGTCACAAACTCACACTCAAACAATTTGTCAATTTCTTTTCAATTTTTCTAAACCTTAACCCCTAAAAAGAAGATTAATGATTAACAAATATACCTTAAATTTTTATTCCATTGTGCGGAAGGTGTAGTTTAATGACATTCTCAAGAATTGATTAGATTGGGTCCAAATTATCCGTAGCATTAGTTTTACGTTACAAGAGTGAACTATCTATCTTAATGGAGAGACAACACTCTATTTATCATGGTAAATTGACATGGTCTATGTATAAGACTTGGAGAAAAGGGGAGTAGGAGAAAGAGAAAGGTCTAGGAATGGGACACTTAGGGCCTGTTTGGTTTATGTTTCAAAAAATAGTATTTGAAAAAAAATTTTGAGAAGAGTTTTAAAAAAGTGGTTTTGATATTTTTTGAGATAAAAAACTTGTTTGGTTAGATGATTTCAAAAACAATTTTACAATACAGAAAATAGTAAAACCTGTTTGGACAGCCTAAATATATATTTGAACAGTAATTCAAACATTAATAAAAAAATATAAAAAATTTATTTTTAGATTGACAATTTCATAAA